GTGCTGGGGAAGGTGGAGGGTTAGTGAAATCACATGGCGTGCTGCAATGACTGATTCGATACAAGTAAATTATTATTATTAAATTATTATTTAGTCATAGGTTTATGTTTCTTACATCAAAAGCTTTCTTTATTATTACCTGACCCTTAGCTTTTATACTATGATAAATTTAAGACTGAAGTATATGTAAACCTCTGTTGAATTCTTGTTTAATTCTTGCAATAAAGGTTGTGACGTCATTAAAAATTCAGTTTTTGGACAATCTGTGCAGCTTAGTTTTCATAAATGTATTCTCGTTTTTCGAGTTTAGGATTCAAGAAAAACAACCTCTGTTTTTACTCTGAAACATTATAGTTTTGTGAATGTAGATCTTGAGATATGCAATATATAGAGTGGAGATTTTACATTTGTATGTCATAAATTACAAAAAGAAAAAAAAAGTCTTACACCGAAATTTGCTCCCTGATATAAAAGGACAAGACACTGGCGAATGATGTGAGTCTCTGTATTGCAGAATCATTACGTTTCCACAAATGAAAAACCATTTTCCTTCATTTGGACACAATTGCCTCTCAATTCTCTTGTACTTTTGAGTCATTATAATAACTACCACAATTTCAGAGTAAATACCCCACAGATCGTTATTCAGTATGTGAATCTGAAGGACAGCACTGAAAATGAAGACTACAAACCATATAAAGATGTTAGAGATGAAATGCATAAATTTTATATTTAAAAAAAAAGTTACAAAATGATTGGATCCAATTATCAGGTAGTGAAAGCTACATCAAACCACCCAGACCCTATTTAGAAAAGCTCAGCATGAATAAGAACGAGGCAAGTCAGAGTCCAACCATCATTCGTATGCGTAAAATGGAATAAAGCTTCTCAGCTGACCTTATAACAGTCTCTACACAACATGGTCTTTTATTGCAGGGAGGCAATAGTATAAAAAAAAAGGTTTGAAAGCACATCTGGAGTGTCCAAAATGCTGTGAAAGGATGGACCAGAATCTCCTGCTATAACAGCAGCTTTCTGAAAGGCCTCCATCTCCTGTATTGTAGCGCTGATTGAACTCTTATAATTATATAAGACCAATTATAGACCTTCTGTGTGGATCTCTCACCAGTTTTGGCCTCTTGTGTAATATGCTATTAAAGCAATAAGCCACTTGAGGCCCAGTGATTTTACCACGTCTAAGGGGTTTTGTACCTTTTAATCATGATCAAATCACTGCAACATTGTAATGTCATGGCAACCATCTAAAACAACCATGATGCTGTTTTTTACGTTTATTATTATTATTATTATTATAACAAGAATTAGAAGAACATTTATTATTTTATCTTGCAATAATAATAATAATACATTATTAGTATTATTATTATTAGTAGTAGTAGTAGTAGTAGTAGTAGTAGTGTCAGTAATTAATAATTATTTATAAGAAGAATCATCACCATAATCATAATAAGTGTGCCCACAAATAATATATTCTAATATATTAGAATATAATCTAATATATTAGAATTAATATATTCTATAATTTTCATGTTTGCCAATCAACTCTGCTAAATATAGATTTCACATTTATATGATATATTTGAATAAATAAATTAATTAATTAGTATTTAATTAATGGGAGCTGCAGATTTGCATCTGTTGTTTTATTTACTGTTTTATTCATCCAATCAGATTTCAGATGCAGAACTGTATTTTTATGTATATGTATTCAATTATTGTTTTCCAAAACTCTACAATTCCTGCTTTTGCCATAAGAGCATATAGCGTGTGCTTTATTTGAGGCAAATGAAATGTCTTTGATTGTGATATGCCTCTTCTGTCAGCCGCAGTTACATTTCTCATTACGCGGATCGTTTGGTGGGTGGTTTGTTGAGCAGTAAAATGCGTAATGAGCCGTTGTGCGCCACTGCAGTGTAAATTTGTAAAGTTTTATGATTGATGTCTTTAAAAAGACAATCCTGCTCATATATATGTACACCCACACAATCCCATCATTCATAGGCTGTGGATTAAAAAACACTTTCTTTAAATTATCCATCTCTGGCGCTGAAGGATCCGCACACACCAAAAGAGCGATTGAAGAGCATTGTGATTGAGCGAGTTTGCTGGAAGAACCTCAGAATGCTGTCTGTCAATCCTCACCAGATAAATACTATCTCTGATCTATTTTCTCTTTTGTAAAATCCAGTGTTTTCACAGTTAGCAGATACCATGTGCATGTATGGATGAGCGTTGTGTATGTTGGTAGTTTTTATCATTCGACACCTCTAAAAAAACTACCCCGTGTTCCCCGGCTGCGTGTCATCTTGTGTGACTCTTTTGTGAGGAGTGAGCATGTTATGAAATATTAGTGAAACGTCTGCAGAGCGGCCCGTTGCACAGTGAAAGATGGCTTTTAAATGGAGCGCGTGAGTGCGGTGCACACATCTGCTCTGTAGTCATGGCTCCTGTTCTTTTGAGAACACATGCAGGCGTCCTGGCAGAATTTTTTTTTTTTTTTAAGTGCACTTAGCAGCATGTTTGCAAGTGACCTGCGTGTTGATGATTCGGTATTAATCAAGTCAGACAGAGCCGACTGTTAAATGAGGATACATGCTTAAAAGCATTAGACTATATCAAAGGGAGGAATATTATAAAAAAAATCCTTGATCTGCACAGCAAAACTTTGATTGCTCTTCATTGCAACAAACAAGCCATAATTGTTTTATATATATATATATATATATATATATATTTAGGACAGCACCTTGTTTTAGGCACTGCATCATGACACATGAATTGCAGTAAAAGTGGAAATTTTTTTATTTATTTTAATTATTTCTTTTTTTTAATGAATATCAATTGCCAAAATAATGTTTATATAATAGTAAAAACACTATATAACTATAAAAATCCCAGAGTGCTTTAGCATTTTCTGGAGAGGCTTGAATATGAGACATATGAATACTGTGGCATTGTTTTCATTGTATTGTATTTATTGACAGTTTTATTATTTTATTTGTATTTATTTCTTTCTTTATTTTGTTCTTTTGACAGATTTCATTGCATTGCTATACAATTGCTAAGGTGTTCTGTGTGGTTTTAATGTGTTGCTATGCGTTTGCTAAAGTGTTCTAAGTGATTTAGTGTGTTGCTATGTGGTTTCTAAGGTATTCTGAGTGATATTAATGTATTGCCATGCAGTTGCTAAGGTGTTGTGAGTGATTATACTATGAGGTTACTATGTTGTCCTCCATAGCTAATTTTGTTAAGCTGATGATAAGCTGTAAACTGATTTTTTTTATATCCTTATGAAGACAGTACTTTTCAAACAAAACATTGAAAAGTCTGTATTTCATTTTTGTTGTTTTATATGAGTCCTAAATTTCCCACTCAAACCCCTTAAATCAATTTGTCTCCAAGCCTCAAGAGCACAAAACCCACAGTGAGACTTAACGGTGTATTTCTGGAGCATTTGCATTCCACTGAAGTGCGTGCCTTTCTTTCAGAGCGCCGTGGTGGGTTTGAAAGTTATTCAGATGAGTGTGTGGAAAGTGGCGGAATGGCTAAGTGACAGCGCTGAGCGAACGCACCTCTCATGCCTTAAGCTGGAATCAAAAGAGCAGAGGAGACGGCTCAGTGCTGTTGTGAGGGGCTTTTTGTCTCACATCAACCCATTCAGACACATGCTGAGGTGAAACTACATGCTCATGCATGAGGGGAGGATGACTCTTGAGGCTCAACGTGACAGAAGATGCATGGGGTCCCCCCCCCCCATGTTATTATTTTCGTCCTTTATTTCTATACTTTTTGACTGTCTTACAGGACAGGTACTAACAGGTCCAATGGCACTTTAATATTAGCTGCTGTACTGAAGGATAGCATATATAAAATAGTATTTACATGGTACTCCAATTGTGTGCTTCAAGGAATACCATAGTGTTACCATGGTGCTGTCAGATTTCAGTCAAATTATAATAAAATAAGTATGCTAATAAAGTTATTTTATGGTTTACTGGGACTCTAATGTAATGACAAAAAGTAAACAGTTTAGGTTTTATAATCATAAGCATTTACAATAATAGCTGCTCAGAATTACATATTAATTTTGATAGCAACATTAATGTCAATATCACATATGGTATTACTATGGCTACTACTACTACTACTAATAATAATTAATATATTATTAATGCATATATTATTTTACATTTACATTTAGTCATTTAGCAGATGCTTTTATCCCATTTTTTATCAAATTGTATATAGTATGTGTTGCTTTATTTTGTATTAATAATAATGATCATAATATCAGTAACAGCAATTATAGTAAAAATAATTAACTTATAATATACTAATAAAACATATTAACAATAGTATGATGATGATGATGATGATAATAATAATAGGCTTTACTATACTCAAAATTCCATAACGATTTTTTATTGCCTGAAAACAAAGTCGATTGTCTGAGCCCACTGCGGATTTTCCTATTCATTCATACATTCTTCCTCACTGTTTGAAAACTTTAATTTTTATGAGTCTTTCTCAAGGTGATTCTTAACAGGACGGGCTGATTTTACCATTGGTGTAAAACGAATTCACCCATAAAGAATTGTAATATTTCATGTCATTTGTCAGCAGTGCTTTCTGTGCACTAGTGCGTCTTATCTGCGACCCATCGCAGCACACTATCCATTCTGCCCCACATAAACCCCAATCTGTCTCTCAGCCTGGAGTCCTATCACTTTTTAGTGTGGCTTGAGTTATTCGTCCCATTTCAGGCCCTTGTGGGTTTTTCAGGGATTGTTATGCCTCTTTCTTTGTTGTGCTGATAAATGTAGTTGGTTCATGTAAGGCCTTCCTCATCAAGCCAGCAACAAAGCTTAAATCGCCTTTGCGCTGAAAAATTGGAAATGAATCCCAAAAAACCCCCAAAAACGACACCCACTCACTGCAAACAACCGTCTCTCATTCTTTATCCTTTTTTGTCTTTATAGCTACACTCTTCGAGTGGTTGGCAATGGGATTAAAGCCCAGGCTGAAAACCCAGAAGTCAAAGTGAAGGAGGCCGACCCAGTGATCAGTCAAGTCATTGATAAACTGAAGCACATCAATCAGGTGAGTCTGGCCAAGAAAAAATACAGTCAAATGAAACAATGTAACATGTTGCTTGATGTCCCACAAAATCCTGTTTCATGAGTTGCTGTGTTTTCATGCCAACAGATCAGAGTAGATCTGATTAGCTGTGCTCATGGATGTATGAAACGATGCGTTGTGTATAAAATGTGTTAACATTTTTGTTGTTGTTGTTGTTGTTTTTTTGCTGTTGAGAATAGTTCAAGGATCTGAGAGTCATAAAATATGTTAACATTTTATATTTTTGTTTTCATATGTTCATTTTAATTAAGGATTTAGTCATTTTTGTTGTGTTTTATCATTTGTATTATTTTTTTCAATATGTATTTTGTGTGTCTTAGTTTTCAGTTTTAGTTATTTTAGTACTTCAACTTAAACTAAACAAAAACTAGCAACTAGCTGAAATTAAAAATTTTTTTTTATAAATAAAAAAGTAAGTCGTTTATAAATAAAGTGTGTGTGTGTATATATATATATATATATATATATATATCATCACACACACACACACATATATATTATTATTATTATTATTTATTGATTTATTTTATTGTTTTAGTTAATGATTATAACCCAGTCATAGTGTGTCTCAATCTGTGTTGCTGTTCTCTTTCTGCATCCCGTTCTGGTGACCTTTAGATTGTGGTTTCACATCTAAACATCCATATCCAATTTTTCTCTTATTTCTGAATATTTTAAATCATTCGCTACATTTACATGCACCCATATAATGCGATCAGGGCTGTACTGGGATTAAGCTGGAGCTCATGTAAATAGAATACTGTGATTGTTAGTGTGATTATTTTCATAATATCCACAGTAACATACTCACAGTAAAATATGTGCACTGTGGTTTTAATCACACTATTGGTGTTTTAATCGCATTTCTTACACAAACGCTGCAGATGGATGGTGTGCTTTGCTCATGGAGGGGGTAACACACATTCACTGTTGGCACTGCAAGCAATTTATGTAGCTGTTTATTTTAGAAATGTCATCCCTCGTATTACCTATTACTGTAATATGTCATAGGATTTCATAGCAGCCCGTTTTATAAGCTGACGGCAAATGCGCCAGAAAAGAGAACTTGGACTAAACATTGTTCACATTTGTTTTAAGTATAAACTCAATTAATGCTGATGCAGTTGTCAGGCAACAAGACTTAAGTTGTTATTTTGCTTCTTGAAATAAAGGAATAGTTCACTCAAAAATGAACATTTGTTGCTGATGTACTATTCCTCAGACTACCCAAGATGTAGATCATTTTGTTTCTGAATGGGAACAGATTTGGATAAATTTAGCATTACATCACTTGCTCACCAATGGATCCTCTGCAGTGAATGGGTGTCGTCAGAATGAAAGTCCAACAGCTGATAAAAGCAGCACAATAATCCACACGACTGTTCCCATGAAGAAACAAACAAATCTACAGTTTCCAAATACATTTTCAGCAATGTTTCATTTTAGGGTGAGCTATTGCTTTAATTCAAAGAGAAAACTAATATTTCTTCGTTGAAGCATAAATTCATTTTTCCAGAAAACATAAAAAAAAGAACACTATAAAAAAACTTTTTTTTTTTGCAGTGCAACTGAATTACATACATTTACATTTGGCAGATGCTTTTATTCAAAGCTTTTATTCAAACACTGCATGCTGTACATTTGTTCAGTTCATGCGTTCCCTGGGAATTGAACCCGTGACCCTAGCGTTGCTAGCGTCAGCAACACCAAGGTCATGAATTTGAATCCTGGAAAAATGCATGTTCTGACAAATTATACACCTTGAGTACAATGCAGATTGCTAGATACCAGCATCTGCCAAATGCATAAATGCAAATATATGTGTATTCACTTTTTTATGATGAATATTATTTGCACTTTTCCGTATGTGTTTCTCAATTATTATTTAAAAGCTGTATGTGGAAAAACTCCACTTTTGTATGGATGAATAAACATCACCGTCTAACCTTCACAGCCAGAGGTACTGAGGCTCCCTGAACAAACAAGCGTCTGTGTTGATTCGATTATTATTGTCATCACTCTCAGTTTGGAGGACGGTAAAAGCTCAAACGCTGACTCACGCTTGAATGTTTTGCTTTAATTAATATGATTGAAGGCAAATTAGTTTATGCTTCTTTTCATATCCCTCTGTTTTGCAAAATAACACGTCACAGCGGAACACTCAGAGACCAGAAAATCAATGAATACATATTTAAAAATCCATTTTCAGCCTTAACACGTTTGCGTTGATTCTATCCCTGTTCCACCCGCTGGTTAAATCAATGTTGTTTTACCCTCCTGAAGCAGCCGTGTCAGGCTGATGCTGCTGTCCTGCCTGCTGGAATAGATCGTGTTTCTTCCCTCCCTGCTGGATGTGCTTCAAGACAAACACAGATGGATCTTGATCTATCAGAAGTAGTCCAGCATGTTCTGATCTTGAGAAACATTTCCTACAACGTGTTATCACCTATTTTGCTTTTCATATGTATTTTTGGGAACACAAGTTCATGCATGTCAAAAACCTGGCCTCTATGATGTTCTGGTGGATTTTTATACATTTTCCATAATGGGGAAAAAAAATCCAAAATGCATTTATATATATAGTTTTTATTCAATTTTATTTCAGTTTTAGTTTTAGTTATTTTAGTGCATCTAGTTAAACTTAAAGAAAATGACAAATGCTGCCTTGGTAACTAGCTGAAATAAAATATGTTTTACATTGGGCTACATTATTTTACCTTATTCTACACAAATATGGTAAAATAAGCTCCATGACTACTGATGATGGGGCTGATTTTTTTTCTCTCGAATGCATGGAAAGAAGCAGCAAACACCTTGGAAATACCAGGTAAGATTTACTTGTTAAATACAGGTGAACAGGAGCTGTTTCCAGGAATGGCTCAAAGGTTTGTTACTGTTCAAGTCTCTGTTTAGATTAGTGTGCTCAATAATGTGTCTTTGACCTTGACTGTGTATATTCTGATTATACTGTGTACAAATAATCAAAGCCCCCATTATTTTAGTCTCCTCACATTCTTTCTTACCTGCCTTTATAGTCACAGTCACAGTCACACTGATGGGCCATTAGGGGAGGTCCCTTTGTCTCTCAGGTGTGAATCACTAAATATTCATGGCCTTTGTCACTCCCTTGCATACAGCCTTTCTAACACAAAACATGCCTTGCAAAAGGTTTTTTTTTTGTGGGCAGGATTATTTTCACATCATTTCATAGCAAAAACTCTAGTCTACCACATCCAATTCTCAAAAGTTTTGTGAACAAATGTTCTGTATATGTTTTATGGCCTTTTTTTAACTAATGTAGCGAATCAGCTCATGACAGGAAATATGAATAATTAACCATAACTAGTTATAATTAACTATTCATATTTTAGATCTGCGGTAGATATTTAGCTGACCTCTCAGGGTCAACTGCCTTGTCAATTCTAAGAAAGTTAATTTCCTGGTTAAGGGAAATAACTTTCTAAATGTACAATTCTACAAGCTTGTAACGTAAATCTGCATGATTAGTGACTCCGGTTATGAGCAAACAATGAACACGTCAAATGTGATACAAGTAAGGTTTTATTAACTACATAAACACTTAAACTAGTCTAACATACTACATAAACACATAAACTGGTCTAACATCCTACATACACACATAAACTGGTCTAACATACACATACACACACACACACATACAGTTGGTATAGGAAAGGGTTAAAGTTTAACACTAAAGAAGGAGACATAAGGAATGACATTTATGGAACCATTTGCATATTCAGCAGATCTAAGCCTCCAGGGATACGTCAGATTCTGAGTTCAAACACACCTTTGTAAAAAGGTGTAACTGATACTTAATGTATCAATTAATAAGACTAAGTTTGATACTTGCGAGTCTCGGCGGTCTGAAAGAGATTCCTGATGCAATCTTAAGGCCCAAGATCTTGCTGAAATTAGTTGATGAAAAGAACCAGTTTGAGTCAGAGT